CGTCGGTCAAATTATAGACATCATACAGTTGTATGTTTATGTTTGTATGTATGTATGTATGTATGTATGTATGTATGTATGTATGTATGTATGTATGTATGTATGTGTGTGTATGTATGTATGTATGTATGTATGTATGTATGTATGTATGTATGTATGTATGTATGTTTGTTATGTGTGTATATATGTATGTGTGTATGCATGCATGTATGTATGTATGTGAGCTTACTTATATGAGTAAGTATGTATTTATGCAGATATGCATGCATCTTAGATTTTGTGTATGCCGGAGAGCAAGTGTTTGTGTTTTTGTCAAATTGTCAGTAGCCATATGCGCGTCGGTGTCTGGCACAAAATTGGCAAATGTATGCTGGAAAGGCCACTGAACAAATAGAATGGTATTATTTTTCCAGGAGGAAGCGAAGGGTTGTTTTTTCTGTGGAAATTTCCACCATAATAAGTTGCTGCTATTGATGTTCCGAGGGCTTTTTGTATTGCGAAGACGTCGGGTGGTTCTTTCGACGCTGCGCATCTGAGGTCTCTCTCTGCCCCTCCCTGCGTCCCTCTCCCTCACGCCACCTCTCACCAGCTACTACAATGCATCGCATTCGCGCAACGGTTAGCTATTAACTTCCCTATTTTTAGTTGTTTTTTGGCAAATTTTGAAAAAAAAAGAACAGAATCCCAGGATGAGCAAGGATAATCCGGGATGAGCGGATTTGTTCGAGGATAAGTTGGTTTTATCCGCGAATGAACGGATTTATTACCGAATTAGCCAAGATTAAATGATTTACTTCAAAAGAGGACAAGCATGCTTGGTGAACATTTCTGATTTTGGGAGCAATTTAATCGCATTCGGCAGAAAAAGGGATTCTTTGAGGTTTTGCGCGCCATAAGGGCGAAATGCATTGAAGAGCTGCTTTACAGTACTGGAGGGCGGTAAATCGAAGTTTTGCGACAAATGTTAGCGCGAACAGGCATTTTTGACTAGAATGTGTAAAGATGGTTTTTTTCCTACAGCATGGTCTTACCACCTGTACCTTAACTAGAAGTCGTTAAATTTTGGCCTGCTCACTGATGTTGTGATATCAGTCTGAGTTTGGCCTGAGGTCAGGACGCAGTGGATCCTGGAAGCTGATTTCGAAGTATTCCCTCTCACACTTGTGTCCAAAATATCGAGCTTGTTTGCTTGTTTAGGCTTGAATTTAGTCTGAATTTTGGCCTGAATTCGTAAGCCTAGACACAATGAAGTCCTGAAACCATCCATAAAACCTTAATCAGTGTTTACTTCATGCAACTTTGAAATTGGCACTAGAATCCTCTATCTGTTTTCAGATTACGATACCGGCCAGATTTTAGGCCTGACGCCGAAGATCAGAAGTGAAAAAGGCTTGAGAATTAATTTTAACTTCGTGTCCTTCACACAGGGATTTGGACTGCACTGCTAATTAGACTGTTAATTTATTCAAGTTTTCATTCGATACACATACATACATACAAACACATTTGCATATACACCCGTACATACACACGCGCACACACATGCACACACACATATTCGCGCATACCTACACATACAGCACACATGCACGCAGACATACAGATAAATACACACAATTACATACACGAACACATACATTTACAAACATATGCATTCACATATTCATGGATACACACATTCACACACGCACACACACACGCACACACACACCCACACCCGAAACACATACACACATACACATGTACATGTAAGATATCATAATGCAGTTTCATTTAAACAAAAATTAATAGCGAAAAGAGCAGAAGCCTTTGATGGCTCTCGTTCTGGTTCTGAGATGTAAGCTTGCTTAAACCCCTATATTATTACTCCGAGTGTTTGGAAGCATCGGTTGTTGTCCTGTTTCTGCTACTGAGACGACGCTGCAGTCAGGTGTCAGTCTAGCCGGCTTTGTCAAAAGCATTATTAGCCCCAGGCCATCTGTCATTTCCGATTGACCATCTCACCAGTTCCTAATGCTTTTAGCAGAGGCGTTCAAAAGTGCACTGAGAATGAGGCACTGGGGAAAAGGACATCTAGCTAATTTGCATCGAAATCGACTGTTCCCTTGGTATTTTAGGGATTCAGACCTTGTTGCCTACATTTATAGATTTTTTTTAGTTTAATTTTCCAAAGTTTCAAACTTTTTGTAGTTTCAAAGTTTCATTTTCATTTTTGCCTACATTTAGATTTGTAGTTTCATTTTTATGGTTTTTACAGTTTTTAGAGATTATAGTTTCGCTGATTTTCGAAGTCGGCTTTCGGATCCTCTACTTTTTTTAACGTCTATGTAATTTGCATGGTATCACAATGCAAGTATGGTTTTTTCAGAATTGATTTTCGAGCTATCAAAACTGGCTTACACACTTTCAAAATTGACCGAATGATTATCAAAACTTGTTTGTTAGCTGTAAGACTTGGTTAATCAGTCAAAGCTTGCGGTCTGACAAATACAGCCTGCGTGTTATCAGTATTACCTTATCACTTATTAAAAGTAGACTGTCAAATCCCGCTTACTGAAATCCGTTTCCATGATTAACTGAGCTGGCTTACCGGTAATCAGAGCATGCTTACCGTCAATACCACATGCTATTTATCAAAACTTGGAAACTGAATTTAAATCTATAAGTTGTATGTGGGCAAGGAACATCTCCTTAAAATTTCGCTTTACAGCTTTCCTAGTTCCTCAGTTAGCAATTTTCCTGCCAAAACTTTCACATGTCCTTACGTAGGAACCACTCGTGCCTAGGAACAGAATTTGAAATTTTTTTTTAGATCGCGCATAAAAAGAGAACATCTTCGCAAAATTTCAGTTCCCCGGCGTGCCTGGTTCTCAAGTTAGCAGTTTTCCCGCCGAAGCTTTTATGTGCTCACATGTGGAGCCCAGGCATGCGTGAAGATTAGTACCGCATTTTTCGGATAGCGCTTGGCCAGGCAACCCACTGGCAAAATTCTTCATTGAAGCGTGCTCAGTTGCCAAGTTCCAATTCGGACTGACATACATACACACACACACACACACACACACA